ACCGGGAGAGGTAGAGGGAGGGGGAGAGAGAGGGGGGAGAGATGGGGGAGAGAGGAGGAGAGGGAGGGGGAGAGAGGAGGAGAGAGAGAGGGGGGAGAGAGAGAGTGGGTTAGAGGGAGAGGGAGAGAGGAGGAGAGAGAGATGGAGGGAGAGAGGATTTATACACTGGGATACACAGTTGGGGTACGCCTGTTGCGAGTGAGTTGAGTTGTTCATCGTTGTATGATTGTATCTGTGTCATTGAACAGGATGGTAATGTAGAATGAGTGCATTTCTGTGTTGGTGTTTTATCTTTGGGCGTTGATGTTCTTGGATTATCCCCAAAATTTCTCACGCGGATCAATTTACTTACTCTACTTTTTCATCCACTGTTGCCGTTAAGCGTCGAGGGGAGATGCAGTTTTCTATGGTAGGCCAGCTCTGCAGCTCTTTCAGTTGTGATGTTATGCACGCGGATCAATAAAATAGTCTATGTGTCGTTTCTTATCTTATCATGAGAAAGGAGGGGAAAATATTAGACGAAGGACTTACAACAACAAAAAAGAAATAAAGAAAATAACGCAGGATCGTCTGAGTCAATATAATAATACATTATCTTTTTGCCAGTGTGTTTGTGTCTATGTGTGTGTCTGTAAGTGTGTATGTGACAGAGAGAGAGAGAGAGAGAGTGTGTGTGTGTGTGTGTGTGTGTGTGTGTGTGTGCGTGCGCGCGCGTGTGTTCTTTCTCGATTTTGGCATTTTCATCTCCTGATTGTTCGTGATGTTTATTTTCTTTCTATGATCTGAAACGACTGGGGGCGTCTTAAGCCCGCCAATCACTACGCAGTACTCAGTTCCCGATCTCAAGATGATCTCAAAATAATCTCAAGATGGTCTCAAGATGATCTCAAGATAAACTCTTATCCGTGAGCAATCGCGTTTGTACCCACACACTAATAATCAGACCAACGCATCAGAATGGCTCCCACTCAAAAGTGAAGTTGCTGCAGCCTGTAGCTCTATAGTTTTAAGTATTTCTCTAATTGATTCGATAGTTTTTTAAATGACAATATGTGGTTGAAGTGTATTGAATACTGAGGAAAAATCAACGAAAAGTACTCTCGATTTCGTTGATTTTTCCTCAGCATCCAATGCAATTCAACCACATACTGTCTTTGACAACAACAACAACAACAACAACAACAACAAAAATAGCTGGCTCACGCAAAGAATAATTTATTAACCTTACTACATGAAACGTTTGCTAGCAGTGTTTCGTATCAAATCTCGCGAGAATTTGACGCTGATGAAGATTCTGAAGTCAGATTTGCATCATTTTGACTTTGGCACCCTTTTATTTTTAGCGTGGAGTACCCTGATCCCCGCTTTTGCTTCTTTTTTGGGGGG